ATTATTAGCTAATGCATATCTATGTGGAATCATAGATATTCCGCCTCTTATTCCAGCTTCATATGTTTCGTACATTTCCCTATCTGATAATAATTCTAATGTTTGTTCAGTGTATTTTAATGAAGCATCATTAGCAAATTGCGGAGCAGATATATAATATACCGGATCAAGCCCATATTCCTTATAACATTTTTCTCTAAAGTTGTCAAAAACATCATGTAATAAAACAGTATCTAATTTCAAGTATAAATTATGATATTCTTTTACAGTTTTACATTTAAAATGTCTATATACTTTATGCGCAAATTTAAGTTTAGAAGGACTCACATTTTCATCATTTAAAGTTGAATACCATTCTTTTTTGTATATCTATGTGGAATCATAGATATTCCGCCTCTTATTCCAGCTTCATATGTTTCGTACATTTCCCTATCTGATAATAATTCTAATGTTTATTCAGTGTATTTTAATGAAGCATCATTAGCAAATTGCGGAGCAGATATATAATATACCGGGTCAAGCCCATATTCCTTATAACATTTTTCTCTGAAATTGTCAAAAACATTATGTAATAAAACAGTATCTAATTTCAAGTATAAATTATGATAATCTTTTACAGTTTTACATTTAAAATGTCTATATACTTTATGTGCAAATTTAAACTTAGAAGGTCTCACATTTTCATCATTTAAAGTTGAATACCATTCTTTTTTTGTATTTGGTAAATATAACTCATACATTTTAACATAAGAGTCTATCCATTCATACATATAAATTCCCTTTTGTAGAACTAGATTTAACATAGTTTTAAATTTAGAATAATCAACTGGCTTAAATACTCTTCCATTACATCTTTTGCATCTCGCAATCATTTTAAGTACACCATGTTCGTTTATAGAAAGTAACTTCATATTTGTTATTTCTTAAAGTTTTGCAGCGTGAACAAAAACAATCGTTTACGTCAAGTAAGATTTTAACTAATGAATCTATAGGAATGACACTATGTGAAGCGTCAAGCCGTCTTGACAAGCCCCAAAGGGTCGCATCTTTAAGATTATCCGAAGGACTTAATTCAGGTAAAATCTTTAGAAAGCCGCCTGAAAAAACTAGTAAACTGCCTGAAAGTTTATGTTAAATGGCTAGGCTTTGATAATACACATAACCAATGGATAAATAAGAAGGATCTAATCACTTCATAAGTGATGTGATAACGTGTGCACTATCAATTGGTGATGGAGAATTGATTGTTGACTTAATAAAAATTTTATATAATAGATGGAGAGGAAATGTTCCACGTGTCAAATTAATAAACCACATAGTAATTTTGTTAAATCAAATAATTTAAAATATGGAATCAGTTACACGTGCTATGAATGTAAAAAACTTTAAAATGAAAAAATTACTTGTGCTGTATGCTTTAAAGAAGTTTCAAAACGACACATGACTAGACATTTTAAACTAGAATGACATATCAAATTAGATAAATTTATTAATAAACTATTACAACAAAATGATGAATTACATTCAGAACTTTCACAAATTTAAGAATGTTAAGAATGTTAACTCTGAAAAAAATATGTTGATAAAAATTTTCACTAATAAATGAAGCCATCAATCGAACATAGTAACGAATTTCTTTTTAATGAAGATATTTTTTCTCAACCAAGAAAAAGGAAAGATGGGATTATAAATAAATCAAAAGACTTTAAAGAATTACCAAACAATTATTGCGATGAAGAAGAAGTAAAAGTTGTGAGAGCTAAAGGTGTGTGAAATAACATGCTTGTTGATTATACATTCTACTCAGATATAAATAGTTATGATTTAAGTATATTTCTTGAAAGAACTAAACCATACGTAGAAGATAAAATACGAACTGGATTTAGAAAACATACAACTGTAACAGTAAAATTAGTTGCAATATCATGTATTGGATTTATGTGGTAATGTAATTGACTTACATACACATTATTTTCATAGTAATGTTGAGCATATTTTATCTGAGGATATAATATCTGATATAATAGAAATTATACATTTACATAACAATTATACATAACAATTATATAATAATAACATTTTAAATAAATTTGCTAGTTATAATGCAAAAAACATCAAGTTTGTGTTTGGTAGAGTTATTCAACTTGATTTACAGTCCGATAAATATACCCCTTTTCGAGGTGGAACTTAATTAAATTACCCAATTATATTATAGCAAAAAAATGCTGCGTTAATGTTAACAATACTAAAACTAATAAATTTAAATGCGAGAAGCAAGAAAATCTCAGATGCTTTGAGTATACAATAGAGAGTATATTTAATCCTGCTAATGATAATGCAGAAAGCCCTTCAAAATATGATATATCAAAGTATGAAATTTTAAATATGAATTATCCTGTACAAATTATAAAAGAAAATACGAAAAAATATGAAGATTTGTTAAATATATGTTTATAGAGTAGACGAGAATAATAGTAAGTTAACTATTGGTCAAGCTATTATAAGTAATAATTATAAAGATAGAAAATGTATAAATCTTTTAATATACAAAGAGTATGTAGTTGGAATAAAAAATATGAGTGCTTTATTAAAAGGACAAATAACAAAACAACACAGAAAGCGATACATATGTGAAAAATGCAACGATTCGTTTGAAAAAGAAGAAAAGTATAATGATCATGTTGCTTTATGTATACAGGGAGTATCCTAAAAAGTGGGAAGCATTGCAATGGGGGATTCAGGATACAAAAATAAGAGAAAAAGTTCATATAAACATATGTCCAATATGACCTTGTTTTCAAATTATAGCTTGTTTTATTTACCAATAGAGTTAAGATAGCATACTTGGATATCGGTTTGCTGGTAGATGGAGAGACCGTGCTGGTCCTATTGCCTGGCCAGCTCGCTCTCCAGACCTGAATCCACTCGATTATTACTTGTGGGGGCATCTAAAATCCATTGTTTATAAAACACCCATTGACAACGTCGAGATACTTCGTCAACGTGTTGAAGATGGTTGCCGGGAAATTCAAGCAATACCCGGAATTTTTGAAAAAGTCAGACAATCTATGATGAGACGTGTTGAAGCCTGTATTCAAGTTAGAGGTAGTCATTTTGAACACTTTCTATAACCGTAATTATCTTAATTCTGTTGAAAAATAAAACAAGCTATAACTTGAAAACACGGTCATATTGGACATATGTTTATATGAATCTTTTCTCTTATTTTTGTGTCCTGAATCTCTCATTGCAATACTTCCCACTTTTTAGGATACACAAAAAATATATATGAAAAACAAAAAATAACAATGCCCACTAAATTAAATAGACAATAATTTTCCATAGGTGCAGAGCAATATCATCCATATACAATTAGTTCAGATTTTGAAGCAACATTACAAAAATCAATTATGAAAAATATCATTCATAATAAATAATGGGAGTGTTGAACAGTTAATGAATGAATTTAACAACCTTATCGTTAAATATGCAAGAAGATATTATGAACTTAGAAAAGTAAAAAAACCAATAGCAATGACAAAAGAGGATATTGACAATTTCAGAAAAGCTAAAAAATGCCATATTTGCAATGATGAATTTAATGAAAAATTAATAAAATTAAGAGATCACAATCACTACACAGGGCGTTATCGTGGAGCAGCTCATGACAGCTGCAACTTAAAATTAAAATTACCAAATTTTGTACCAATATTGTTCCATAATTTGAAATATGATTCTAAAATATTTCTAAGATGGATTTTGAAACTAGGAGCTAAATACGAAAGACTTAGCTCTTTGAGCGGATAGAAAAATAAGAAAGCTCTAAATATAATGCCAAAAACAAAAGGAAATTATGTTACAATTTCTATAAAAAACGTAGTTGTTGATCAATATGAACAACAGTTTCGTCCGTTTCGCGCAAGTCTCCACCTTAGAAAGCCCCCACCACATCGCCGTATCGCTCATGCAGCTTGTCAGTGCTAGCAACGAGTGACAGGTCCCCCCGATCATTTGACAGTTGGGTAAATATAGCGAAAAAAGGACCCAGCCCCAATGACCTTGACTTTGATATATGTTGTCAAGGACATAATTTTGAGTAACTTTTTCTTCTAATTTAATCGTCGCTCGTTGCTTATTAAAAAGTTATTAACAAAAAAGTTTGAAATGTACTAAAATACATGCATGGACAAGAAGCACGAGCGCGCACACATACACATACACACACACACACACACACGGGGGGTGCAAGGGGGGCTTTTGGAGCCCCCCTCCCGCACCCACCCGCCGGTAAGCAGGGTGGACCTCGCTTTACAACTACGGTGGGCAAATTGACGGTGTGCAACTGAACGGTGTGCAACTGAACGGTGTGCAACTGAACGGTGTGCAACTGAACGGTGTGCAACTGAAATATTGTCGGAATATAAGAATACAGGTGCGGTTACATCTCCAAATAAAAGGAAACGTTGCCTATCTTTCAGAGAAAAAATCGACGAATGTGATAAAAATGCCATTCGGAGAAAAGTGCACGGATTTTACATCAATAAAGAATTACCAACATCGAACAAAGTTCTGCAAGCCATAAACGCTGACGAAGATCTTTCAAATTTTAAACGATCGACCTTTCATTTATTATTAAAAGACTTAAATTTTGCATATACCATCCGACATCGCAACAGCATACTAATAAAGAGAGAAGATCTAATTATTTGGAGGAGAAATTACCTGAGGACTATAAAAAATACAGAGAAGAGGGCCGGCAAATTTTTTATCTGGACGAAACTTGGGTTAACGCCGGTGATGTCACAAATAAAGTTTGGATAGATAAAACAATTAAATCCAAGAAGGACGCATTTCTCCGAGGATTGACAACGGGACCAGCTAATCCAAACGGAAAAGGCAAACGATTAATTGTTTTGCATATTGACAGTGTTGCTGGTTTCGTTCCTGGCGGACTTTTATGTTTTGAATCGAAGAAACATACGGGGGATTACCACGACGAAATGAACGGTGACACATTTCACGAATGGTTTAAAAATATTTTACCATCATTAGATGATAATGCTGTTATTGTCATGGACAATGCTCCATATCATTCTGTGAAATTGGAAAAACTGCCGAATACTTCTTGGAAAAAAGCCGAAATAATACAATGGTTAGAAAATAAAGGAAATGAAATATCAGAATCTATGGTAAAGGTCGAACTCCTGCAAATTGTTGCACAACAAAAAAATAAATTTGATAAATATGTTGTAGACGAAATGGCAAAAGAAGACAACAAAACGATTCTCAGATTACCTCCGTACCATTGCGAACTTAATCCGATTGAAATTGTATGGTCAATGGTTAAGGGATATGTTAAGAGTAAAAATAATACTTTTAAAATTCAGGACGTCAAATTATTACTTGAACAAGGTGTTGATCGGGTAACAGCTGAACATTGGACTAATTTTATTAAACACGTTACAAATGAAGAGAAAAAGATGTGGGAGATCGACCATATAACCGATAAAATGATTGACGGGATATCTCCATTAATAATTAATGTCACAGGCAAAACAGATTCAGAAACCTCTGATAGCGATTATTAATTCTGTATGTCAGTCTGTATGTCATTATAATTTTATATCATCTTTGTATATTATTATTATTTATTTCATATTTATATTATTATTTATTTCGTATATTATTATTTGTTATTATTATTTTATTATTTGTTCAAAAAGTTATTATTATTTGTTTTGTTCACACATATTATTATTATTGCTTTCACGTATTATTATTACTTATTTCGTATTCATATTCTGTATATATACGTATTTTATAATATTCTGCTGACTTACTTCCGAAAGGATAGACCTTATCCCTCTTGTACAAAATCATCAAAATAAATATATATTTAATATTAACCTCACTCATTACATACTCAGTTTTCTTTTATACGCATGCTCAAAATCTAAAATTTTCCATAATATAAACGATCCCTAATAAAAATGTAAGAAATCTAGAGATATATATATATCGAAAAGATCTCTAGAGACATTTTAGTTTTAGGAAAACACACGGCGCTCGCGTACGCCACCGGTCTGAGTTCTTTTCTCTGAGTTCCCTCTCTTGTATAGAGTGTGTTCGGGGTCCTCCTCCGATCTCTGGTAGAATCGAATCGCGGGACCCGTGCGTTATACGTTATTAATCTTTATTCCTCATTAAATACAAGTGCTTGTATAAATAAAGTTGTGTACAGTGATTTCCACAGCCCAAATCCCTGTCAGGTTATGGGCCCAGTGCATCTTTTCACTACGCTAATAGACAAATACAGTGTCCAAGGAAGAACGACACGGAAAAGATGGCTGCTGCATCAAGTTTCGCAAACATTGAAAAACTGACCGAGTCTAATTACGAGCTGTGGAAGGTATAAATGAAGAGCGTGTTAGTGTTTAACGACTTGTGGAAATACGCGGAAGGCACGGAAACAAAATCCTTAGCAGACGCGCAAGAATGGATAAGGAAAGACTCGAAGGCATTAGCGCTAATAAACCTGAGCATCACGCACAGCCAGCTCAACCACGTTAAGAAGGCTGTGACATCGAAAGAAGCATGGGACGGACTCAAGGCGGTATTCGAATCACGAAGCCCTGTAAGGAAGGCGGCCTTATACAAACAGTTGCAGAGAATGGAGAAGAAGCCGAGCATCACAATGGCGCAATACGTTACCGATTTTACGCGAAAAGCCGAACAGCTTGAAGAAGCGGGCATCGAGATACTCGATGAGCTATTATCGATAATGTTGTTAGGTTCTTTATCGGCCGAATTCGAAAATTTTAGCGTAGCTATAGAATCTCGCGATGAAATACCAACGCTTGAAAACTTGAAAATAAAGCTTATTGAGGAAGAAGCTAGGCAGAGCGACCGCGTCGCGAGAACGAGCGAAGCGAATAATAACAACGACGCGTTGTTGACGAAAGGACGTCCCGAACGGTCAAAATATCCAAATGTAAAACCAAAAGACGGCTATACGAAGGCGAACGTAAATAAATTTAGCGGAAAATGTTTTAATTGCGGTAAAAGCGGGCACATGAGTCGATTCTGTAAAGTGAAACCGAAATATAGCGAATTAAACAATGCGACCGACGCGATGATCGCAATCGCGTGCAACACCGAGGTTATTAATGAATCGAATACTTGGTATCTCGATAGCGGCGCGACCGAACATATGTGCAATGATGAGCGTCTTTTTGCGACAATAAAAAATGACGAAAAATTAAGAGTGTATACAGCCGCGGAACATTTCGTAGAGTCAGGCAGTATAGGTGATGTAAAGTTAGACGCGAAATCAAATCGACAGATTACTAACCCCGTAAAATTAAAAAACGCGCTATACGTTCCAGAGTTACGAAATAATCTTTTGTCGGTGTCGAGTATTACCGACAACGGTTATATGGTCGAATTCAGAAAAGATCGAGCAACGGTTAATCGAAAGGACGGTTCAGTAGTTTTTACAGCGTCGAAACGCGACCAATTATATGTTGTCAACGAAAAGAAGGAACAGGCCGCATTTGTTAATGAAAGAGACGAAGTAGAGTTGATGAGATGGCATCAGAGGTACGGACACCTTAATGTTAGGGATTTAAAAGCGATAAAAGCTAAAGACATAGTACTGGGTATGAGTCTCACGCCGAAAATGAACGAAATAAATTGTGAAGTATGCGCAAAATGTAAAATTCATGTAAAACCATTTAAACCGTCGTCTAATCGTGAGACAAGCATTTTGGGGCTAGTGCATTCTGACATTTGCGGACCGATGAGCACTGAGTCGATCGGTGGCGCAAAGTATTTTGTTACATTTATCGATGACTGTTCTAGATATACGGAAATCGTCATGCTTCGAAATAAATCAGATGTATTTCAAGCATTCAAGGACTACAAACGAAGAGCAGAAAATCAAACCGGCCAACGAATCAAGAAACTCCGTACAGACAACGCGAAGAAATACCTGTCCAGTAATTTCACCAATTTCCTTAAGGAAGAAGGGGTTCGACATCAACTGAGTGTCGAATACACGCCTCAACAAAATGGAGTGGCAGAACGAGCCAACCGCACGCTAGTGGAAATGGCCAGGTGCATGATGCTGCAAGCTAGTCTCCCTGATTCTCTATGGGCCGAGGCAGTGAACACGGCGACGTATCTGAGAAATAGATGCGCTACGAAGTGCCTCGACGGGATTACGCCATTCGAAGCATGGACGCAACAAAAGCCGTACGTGGGCTTTTTCAGAACGATTGGAAGTAAAACAATTTCGCTAAACAAGAACCAAAGAGGAAGGAAATTCCAACCAAAGGGCGACGAATACTTGCTAGTGGGTTACTCCGATGAGTCAAAGGCGTATCGATTGTGGAAGCCGGGAACGAAGACCGTCATCAAAGCGCGAGATGTAAAGTTCTTCGAAAGGATCGAAAATCCCCCAGAATCCTCGACAGGAAAAGTATTTGCCACGCCCTATACTTTTATGGAAACGTCGGATGAAGAAATGCATAATGAAGATACTGAGGATGAAGTAAGAAAAGATCCTCAAGGAGCTCACGATGAAAATACGGAGGACGAACCTGAAGAAAATGAGCCACGCCGGGGACCAGGTCGCCCCAGGATTACTAGAACAGGCAAACCGGGAAGACCCCGAAAGATCTATCAATGCGGTGGTACACGCCGTCCAGATCCAAGCTCTACATCACAGATGTTGGAGCAAGATGACAGAGAAGCATGACTAGCAGCCATGAAGAAAGAATACGATACCTTACAAGAAAATAAAACGTGGATTCTTGTACCTAGGCCAGCTGATAAGAAGATTTTAACAAACCGATGGGTATTTAAGGCCAAAGTCGTTCAAGATGGCAAGATCAAGAAGCACAAGGCACGACTAGTAGCTCGGGGAAACACTCAGGAATGGGGAATAGACTACGAGAAAGTCTTTGCCCCCGTAGCGAGATACGAAACAATTCGCACGTTACTCGCAGCTTCTGCAAATGAAGAAATGCATGTGCATCAAATGGACGTGATTTCAGCATACGTACAAGGAGAACTAAACGACGAAATATATATGGAACAACCCGAGATGTTCGTTAAGCGTGGGCACGAAGAAAATGTTTGTAAGTTGCTCAAACCGTTGTACGGTCTAAAGTCGACAGTACAGTCAGGTCGAGAATGGTATAGAAAGCTCGACAGCTTTATTATGGAAATCGGCGGTAGACGCACACCGGCAGATCCCTGCGTCTACGTAATTGGTAAAGGTGAAAGACGAGTAATTATTATCATTTATGTCGATGACTTAATTTTGGCCTCAAAGAAGATGGACAGACTCGAAGATGTTAAATCAAAAATGAAATCAACGTTCAAGATGGTGGACCTTGGACAAATTAATAACATTCTTGGGATAAGTGTGCAACGCAAAGGTGCAACCGGAAGAATACATCTTTCACAGAAGAAATACGTCGAAAACTTAATCGAAAAATTCGATATGGAGCAGGCTAAAAAGGTATCGACACCAATCGAGTCAAATTTGAAAATTACTAAGGATGCGAGTCCATCAACAGAAGAGGAAAGACAAGAAATGAAGAATCGACCTTATAGAGAGCTAATCGGCGGACTAATTTACCTAGCGAATGCCACACGTCCTGACACAGCATTCGCGGCCAGCACATTAAGCCAGTTTTGTGCAGACCCAGAAAGAGATCATTGGCTCATCGCGAAGCGAATATTACGCTATCTAAAGGGAACGTCTCATTACGGAATTACATACACCAAGGACGAAGAACGTCTAAGAGCATATTCTGATTCGGACTGGGCAGGAGACATCGACGATCGCAAATCATGCTCGGGTAATGTCTTAACATTGGCCACGAGCCCAATTAGCTGGAAATCAAGAAAGCAAGCGTCCGTGGCTTTGTCAACAATGGAAGCAGAATACGCGGCGCTTTCAGAGGTTTCACGCGAAATAATCTACCTCAAACGACTGTTAATCCACATGGGTTTTGAAAAATACGTGACACCTCCAATCAGTGTGTTCTGCGATAACCAAAGTGCAATTGAGCTATCAAAGAATGCTGTGTTTCATAAGCGGAGCAAGCACATAGACATTAACTTCCATTTTACGCGCGAATTAGTTGATAAGAAAGAAATTGGAATTCATTATTTACAGACAGATTCGATGCTTGCCGACATACTTACTAAATCGTTAACTAAGTGTAAACACGATAGGTGTGTACAAATGTTGAATTTGAATTCTAATATTTGTTAATAGAGATCTTGTCGATAGAGGGAGTGTGAGAAATCTGCGAGATATATATATATCGAAAAGATCTCTAGAGACATTCTAGGACGCTCGCGTACGCCACCGGTCTGAGTTCCTTTCTCTGAATTCCTTCTCTTGTATAGAGTGTGTTCGGGGTCCACCTCCGATCTCTGGTAGAATCGCATCGCGGGACCCGTGCGTTATACGTTATTAATCTTTATTCCTCATTAAATACAAGTGCTTGTAACGAGAAAAATATGTTGAAATTTAATAAATTGTTTGAATAAGGCTATATTGGTTATAAGG